ATATTATATGTACAGTGTAATGTGTGTTCCATTTTACAGGCAAAATCTGTGTTTGAGATTGGACTTTGCAGTAACAAAATGTTCTGCTATGCTGTCCTTGGATCCATAATGGGGCAGTTACTGGTCATTTACTTTCCTCCACTTCAGAAAGTTTTCCAAACAGAGAGCCTCAGTATCTTGGGTAAATACAGTTCCCTTTTCAAAATTGTACATTAAGGATTAATTTTTGAGTGCATTAGCTGATGGTTCTGTAAGAGTAATTTCTGGCTGTCTGCATACAACACGAATACAAAGCCTGCTAAATTTTTTTTTTTCCTTAGGAAAAAAAAATATTCCTTGGCAACCATTCTTTAAGTGCTTATGGTGCACAGCTGATCAGTGTGTTCTTAAACTTCTTAAGAGCTTATGTATATTAGGCTTTTAAGAAAATTTTTTATACAGGCAAAAATTAAACAATTTTTTGAAGTTTTTAAAGCATTGTTAACCTTGCTATTTCTCAAGTTTTTTCTCCAAATATAACCACCTTATTTAGAAATCTTGGTCCTTTATTAAATAAGCAGCTGCATTGTTGTAAGATAGACATGTATATAGATACATAATTGCTGTTGGCCTTATTAACACTTAAGTTTATTACTTGTGCATTTTTTTAGAGTTCAAGAAAAGTGATTGTCATTCAATACATGTTTTTACATAATTCTTTTCATTGTAGTGTCATCTCTGATTATGCTAACATTTAAAAATGTTACTTATATTGCTTACTGTTGTTTGTTTTCATAGGTGTTAATAAAAATAGGATTATTAAAGTTTGAAATACGCCTGTACTTAAAACTTGTGTGTAAACTAACCATGTTAATCTTCTGGTCCTGCAAAAATTGGTTATAGCTTCATTTCTCCTAACTTACCTAGTGATTGAGAGACATATTGAAAGTCTTGTAAGTGTTGTTCTCTTGTAAGCCTGCCCCTCAGGGGCTTATTACCCTTAAATAGCAAATTTCAAAAAGCTAATTATCTCTTTCCAGATTTACTGTTTCTTCTGGGACTCACTTCCTCTGTGTGCATAGTGACTGAGATCATAAAGAAGTTTGAAAGAAGCAAGGAAAAGATCCAGAAACATGGAAGTTCTTCTTCATCAGCTTCTTCTTTTCTTGATGTATGATGCATATTGCATTCTTTTGTTTGCAAACTTAGGGATTGCTGTCTAAAGATGTAGGAGAAAGCAAAACAATATTTGGAGGATAAATCCCAAGGGTTTTTGACAAGCCCTTCGTTTCACTGGCTAATGATGAACATTCATGTTTCAAGACTGTTTAGAATTTAACTTCCAGCTGTGGGAGTAACAAATGAAATTATGCAACTTTGGTAACATTTTTTCCTCAAACATAAATTTACTTTTGAAATTGACTGGGACTGGGGGGGGGGGAGGAGGTGTGTATTAATTTAAAGCAAGACCTAAGCCCAAGTCCCATTTTCTGCACTTAAAAGATACAACTGTGTAAAATCCTTCTCTTAGATATAAATATTTTAGTTTGTTTTTATTTAAAACATTGTACTATTTTATGGTGGTGGGACTTTGCTACTAATACAAGGATAAAACAATATTTCAGAGGCATTCCACTGGGTTTAGAGTCTGTCACAAGAGTGCCATATTCTAGCTACTGTATTTATTTACTTTATCCTGCAATGTGTAAGCGGCTCAAGTACCTTGTGCTACAGGTTTTTGTATCCCAAGTTGTTTGGTTTTTTTTTTTGCACAGGATGTGACCGCTATTGGATCACTGTTTTTCTTTTCTTCTTCTGTGATTGGAAAGCCTATACTGCAATTTGAAGTAAATGTTTGCTTTTCTTAAAAGTGTGTTGTCTCTTTGTTTTGAACGAAACTGGCATTTACACCAGACCAGTGTGCTTGTTTTGATGTAATTTTAGATACAAGCTTTATTTCACACATTGTTCCCTATTTACTTTAGCTTATGACTGTTAGGTGACTAGAGTGATTATAAGACAGTACTGTTACTGAAATTATTTGTAGTGTATTGAATTAGAAAGTGAATGCACTAATCCTCAGTGCAATGGCAAAAAACTCCACCCCTCATTCAAAGAAGCTTGAATTTCCTTCCTTCTTCTACCTGGATCATAAATAAACTTTTTACTGGTAGTGTAACTTAAATTTTTTATCCTGCAGAATGACATTTTGTTGCTAGAAAAGAATGATTATAGCATTAAAATACAATTGTAATAGCATAATAATACAGTTTCAAAATACTAATAAAATACTTGTTCTGGAAAGACAGTAAAAACTGACAATGCATGCTGATGAGGAGCCTCTTGAAGGAACTTGGGTTTTGGGAAAGAACAGCAACTCTACCTTTCATATAGTAAGTCTTAATTTGTTGATGTTCTTCTTCCATGGGATTGACTGCTTTGTGCTCTGTACTCAATCTTGGAGTCTCAGAAATCCAGGTAAGTATTGAAGGGCAGATGAACACCCATTTGTCGTTACTGCCTAGTCTTGAAACAGATTTCATTAAGTACCTCCTTCCCAGCACAAGTGTCATGTTCTGAATGAGGTATGTCAGTCTGAACAAGAAATAAAATTTCAGTCCCTTAAGAACAATTACTTCTGCCTTCTTGCAGGGTGAACTTAATTGAATGCAATTTACTTCAAATCTGCCAAGGTAAATTTTGCCATGTTTTCTGATGGAAGATGAAATGGTAACAAGTAACGTATCTGTAGAGCTCAATCTCATTACTTATGAAAAATGTATAGACTGAATCCCATTGCCAGTTTTTTTGCTCCACTCTTGATCATTACCACTTAGCAATTTTGAGAGATTTTTCTTGAAAACAATGGAATCAATTGGTAGGATTTTTCTGCAAAATTTGAGGCATTTAATATGAGGTGAAAATAAAGAGCAACCAAGGTCTTTATTTGTTCTTACTAAAGCATGGAATATATAACTTTTCAGTTTTAATAAGTAATAACCTTTTTTCCCCCAAAGCAGATTGAAAACCTATAATGTCTCAAAAAGGAAAATGGGAACATTTTATATAAGTTCTGCATAGCAGCCCTAGAATGAGTAATTATTTTCTTCTGCATACATGATTGAGTTTGCAATGGGGTTTATTTCATTTTGTTAGCAACCAAGAACATGAATTCTACCTTAAGAACACATTTCCAGTTGAGTAATTCTGAATTGTTGAGTCAGCACTACCAACAGTATCCTCAAAATGCCATATGATCATAGCATTTTTATCCAGAAGTGGATTACTTGAATTTATTCTGACCTTCCAAACTGACTGAAGATAATGCTTCTCAGCAAGTCTCAAGTTCTCCAGCATTTTTCCAATATGGAATTCAGCATAAATTGGGATTTCTCTTCTTACAGCACTAATAAAGTGGAATCAAAGAGACATGTATTTTTATATTTGTGGCTTACTTTAAATGTGACTATTTCTGATGATTAAACGCCATAAGAAAATATGAAGCTAGTAAAATGAAACATGGGATCATAATGGATCATTATGGAATAATTTGTATGATTAAGGATATAAGTTTTAGTTACTGAAATCAAGACCTTCAACCCAACTTTCAACTCAAACCACCTGATGGAAATGTGACTTTGCAGACTGCTGCAAATTGAAGTTTATTTAGGAGCTGTAAAGGTCTGGTAACTTGCTGTATGGTTGAGCTTTGGTGCCACCTGCTGGTAGTTTAATATGTAGCAGCTTTGTGCCGGAAGACGTTAAATATTACTCAGACTGTACCTCAAAAATAGTTTCATTAATAGATGTTATAAACGTATTATCTTTGAATATGTTGTGGCAGTGTCTGATAGCTGTCTGATATCAGAGACCCTTCCTGCAAGTCACAAGATCTAGTGAGTAATTTCCATGTGGATAGCTGTCTGAAAACTGAGCAGATGATGATGCAGGAATCAAGCTTGAATTCTGGTAAGTAATGGGCAAAACTTCGATTAAAAGTGGAAATAATTATTTTCCTGAAGGTAAGAAAAGGTATATGGATTCCTGAGGAGAAGAAACACAAATGTAATAATTAGGTTTCACACAAGGAGGACACTAGAAAAACAACAGCTTTTTAAGAAACACATTTATGTAGTGACTAATTTTGCTGGAAAGTTGGCTAATACAAAGCCCTGAGAAATACTGCTGTTGTAGGATTTTTGAAAGATACAAATTCTTTTTCAGTATTACCATGTTGATAGTAAGGGCTTGTCATGTAACTTAGTGTTTACGTTAGTTAAACAGGTTTTAATTTTACTGTCATTAGAGAAAAGGAGCTTAACTTGTATGACATGAGTTTGTTAATGGCAGAAGAGTGTGCAAAATTACTTGGAATTAACAAACTTGCTACTGTATGACAGTTTGTGTGTGCTTGTAAGCTTGTAAGCATTTAACTTACATACCAAAGTGGGGGGCAACAGATGCTGAAGTTTCTCCCCAGGTAAAGTTCAGTACCTATAATACTGCAAACACAACTTAGTTGAAGCCCAGTAAAGCTTTGCTCTGATTTTTAATTAAGACTGATACCTTTGAAAAAAAACAAAACACCACAACTTTTATACACTTTTTTTTATAAGACGGTTAGTTACAAAAAATGTAAATATAAAAATTCCCTGAAGTAAGAATTGTTGGTGAAGATTGAACCAGGAACTCGTGTGAAAAGAGGTGAAAAAATTCGAACAGTTGCCTATTTTAATGCAATTTCTTCCATCTTCATGGCATTAAAAGTTAACTCCAGGAATAATGCTTTCAGTCATCCATTGCAAGGGATGAAAACCTATTAACACTGCATAAATCCTGAGGTTCTGGTACAGCACACCTGATGGCCTTTTTTTCCTTATTAGATGTTTTCTTCTTTTTACAGGACTCAGATTTGGTCTTGGTCGTTTTCTGAAAGAAGTCTGGAGGTACAGTTGACTCCACTGTATTTAGCAAAACGTGATAAAGCTGAGTCATTTTTTGAGATGAACTAAACAGAGTTTCTACCGAAGGTGTTGATTTGAGCTCTTGATACAGTCTGTGCACAAGGGTCCCACTGTAAAGCCTGCTCAAAGGAAGGAGAGAATCCTCATTTAGGATCACACCTCATCAGGACAGGTACAGACATGTTGCTTACTGAAAACGCTGAAGGTAGCTACATACAGGATGCAACAGTGCGCTCCTATTCTACTCAGTATTTCTCTCTATGTTAGTATCTTTAAAGAAGGGAGTTAAAATGTAGTAAAATTGTCCAAATCAGTTTGATGCAGAAAACAAAACAACGTGTGAACACATTTTGGTGAGGGCTTGTGTGGAAAGCAGGCTTCTAAAACATCCTTACCTGCTCAGGTCTGGCTCAGAGAGAGGAGTGCAGAGCAGCTGGTTGAGATACAATCCCATCTGAAGACAGCACTGCCACTGGCAAAAACTGTGTGCGGCATCTACATCAAAATCTTGACATTCCCATTTCTTTTCCTTCCATTTTAGGAATTCGTTATATGCGATACTGTCATCTTCAGCACGTGCAACTGTGGGATCTAGGTGATAAATGAAAAATGACATGCAAATAAATGTTCTGCTGTGAACAGTAGGAAAGGTATTTGCAACATTACAGAATCTTCAGTACCTCAGTACTGGTACCTTCAGAACCTTCAGTTCCATTTCAGGAAGCATTAGTCATGTTTTCAAGTGTCCCAGACCCAACTTTAAGACATAAAATTGAGTAAAAAATTCGAGTATCCAGGAATTGTGAAATCAGGAGTCCTGTTAGTAAGGTAATTTGATACACTGTTCTGTGAATTGATCTGTTCCACACAAGATTTCCATCTCACTCCCACCCACTTGGGAAGCAGGAGGCAACAACATGAGTCCCATTTCTATAAACTAACACCTAAAGAAACTGTATAACCCTGGCATGCGTCATCTTTGCCATCAAATGGACTCCTAGAGGAAACACCACCATAACTCTTAGCAGGTATAAGTATTACTGAAACAATTAATGTGGTAATTTACTACTTGCAAATTCTCTCAATGCACAGTGCCTGTGCAATTCAGCATTTTTAAGGAGATGATTTTAGAAAAAACTCCCAAGGAAAAAAAAATAAATATATTTGAATGCATCAGTAGTGGTTATCTTTTGATACATGAGTAGGTTAAATCTATTTTTTTTTTTAAACTCTTACCTAAAATTGATATTGTAGTCCTAAAGAAAGCATTTATAAATGCAAATGAATGTTTTACAAGATGGTAAACACTGTTTTACCTATATAAAACATAAATTGAAGTCTAACAGTTTCTCTCTCTGCATCAAAGCAAAAATGTGACACTTCAAGCTATAATGTAAATCAATGCTAACTGAACAACTCACCATTAATGAGGAAAGAAGAATTATGCAATAGATTTTCATAGTAGCTGAACATCTAAAATTGTATCATTTGGAGATGTACCTGGATCTTCTGTTATCCTGTGCAGTTCTCCAAATACTATCATTAGAAATAAAGCCTTTAATTGATGCAAGTTCACTTTTGGCTCTGAACAACATATCCAGTAACATGTTACAGCAACAGGGAGTTGTAAGTGGCTGGGGATGGATTCCATGAAGCTCATTTTCACTCTTAGAGTCTCCAGCAAAAGCATCTGACGGCGTGACCTGGGCACCTGAAAATAAATGCAAAAATTGGAGTGGAAAAATAAAGATAAGAGTCTTTATTTGCTGTGAGCAATTTCCAAAAGGCAAATAAGCTTGTTTAAACCAGCTAGTACTTAATGTTTTTGACAAAAAAATCTATAAGTTTTCTAGATATTCTGAACAGGAAGTATTCTTAAAACACTACTCAAGGTTTAAAAACTACAGTTAAATGTTAAGTAGAAAGATAAAAGGTTAGATTTTTTAAAGGTTTCAGAGTCTCCTTCAAATCAGGTAACTGAAACTCCTATGTAAAAGTTGACTTGCTTAGAAAGGCTTGTAACTATAGTGCATTAAAATTACTTTGGCAGGGCAAAAATTATATATCTATATATAATATATATATAAACTTCATTTTGTGCTTCCTAGAAGTTACCCTTGCTTTGTGAGATACAGTGGTGATGTCTGTTCTTGGTACATTGAAAAAACACACTTGCCTGTAATCACAATGAAATCTTAAATGTGAAGCTTGCATTTTCCACCTGCAGTGTATTAATTCCTAGCATATTCCCTCTTTGTTATGCTTGTTAACTTCTAAAAAGTGGTCTTATGAACTGTCTTATATAACTTAATGTATGCAGCAGAATCCCAGCAAGCTGTTCAGTTGTAACTGGAGTGCTTTATGAACCCTGATTATGATGGTTTTACCTCCTCTTAGGCAGGCAACCTGACAGTAGAAGACACACTGGAATCAGTTGTCTAGAGCACTTAAATGCAGACTAACCTTTCTTCTAATCTGTTGAATTGATAATTCCCAGATATTCAGTAAAGAGTTGTTAGAATAGCAGGCTCAAATTCATTAAACAAACAGCATACATACCAAGATCAAACTGAGGTGTCATCAATGACTCTAAATCCCAAAATATGTTTCTTTGAAACTCTTAAGTGTTTGCATATTGCCTGTTTAAAAAGCCTGTAACAATAACCTGTACCAAAAATAGGCCTTTGGAACCACAGCTCTCTGTAGCATTTCATGGTCACAGATAGACTGGTAAGACTTGGTTCTTAAATGAAATAGCCACCAGCAAGTGATAAAAACATACAGCACAGCCCACATACAGAGATCTTGACCTAAATGCCAGAATGGATAGAGCACATGGCTTAAACGTGCAGTATTAAAAGACCCATTGTATTTCAGAAATTACTGCATACAGAACCTCCGTGATGCTACTCTGGGAATGGGAGATGACTTGCCATTCACAGAAACTTACAGTCTTAATCATTACAATTTAAATATACAGAATTGGTAATGGTGACTGGCACTAACCTACTACAACTTTCCTTCGATTACAAGCAGTTTTTCGGGTGCAGTTCTGCCTGGCTAGCAGCAGGGGTCAACGGTAGCAGGATGCATGCTTGCGGCAGGGGAAACTGCTGCAAGTTTCTTGTGTGAAATAATGGTGAATTTTTCGTAAAAAAGCATGGGTCAGTTGTTGCTTCAGAGCACTTCTCTGAAACATCCGTAGTCTGTTCAAATATAAATTCAGTTTTGTAGTGTTAAGTTGCACTTTTATAAATTTCATGAAGTTGAGTTCCTTTCTGTAGTTGTAAAAGCACGTGCAACAGAACACAGAGGTTGAAAGAAGGGCTTAGAATGGAAAATTTAGGCAGTACTACATGTACACACAACCGACTTTTAATATAACTTCACTTGGCATGCTTGGGGGAGGGGGCAAGAAGATAGGGGCAATGAATCTGTAGCTTCTCCAGCATCACAGGCCAAGCTCAGAGCCCTGTAGGTGTATCTGTACTAAGAAGTTACTTACTAAGGCTGCTTAGGTTTAGGCATCACGTTTAGCGACCAGTGGGCAAACCTAAGTCCCAACTATTTTTTGTCAAGTTGTTAACACACCGTTAACCGTGACCTGTTGTGACAACCATTTACCTCCGTTAACTTGTCCAAAGGAAAATGATCATCACAAAAATCTGTGGGTAGGCTTGCTGCTTGAACGAATGTTTTTTTAAGTGTCTTTTGGAGTCTGTCAAATTCACATACAACTGGCAGCTCCTTGCTCTGCCTACTCGGAGAAGCAGCTTCAGGACCTCGTGGTGCGTTCAGCAGCAGTCCGTAGATAACTTGTCGAATGGGCAAGGCTGTGCTGTGTGCACTGGGTCTCTGCATGTTCTCCACCTGGACGTGGAGGAAGGTACTCCTCAGTATCAGGGCATCGCTGATGAACGGGGCCAGCTTACCTTTTGCCAGAGCATCGAGCACCCAGCCGGGTAAGCCTGCGTTCCGGGCAGCCTCACATTCGTACTTCCCAGTCTGGAAGAAGTCCTCAAGATTCACCTCCGACGGGGCATAATCCTCCATGGAAGTGCAGAGGAGCTCCCTTATCTCTTCTCTCTGGTGTTTCCGGAGGTAGGTGAGCACAGTGTCCAGAGCCGGTCCGGGCCCGGGGAACTGCGCCAGAAATTTTTCCTTGTCCCTTGGCTAGAGTTAAATCTCCTTTGTCTTTTTTTGTCGCAAGCTAAACTGAAGTTGTTGTTTAGAGTTTCACAATTCCAGCTACACATGCTAAACACACAGCACCTCCACTTCTTCCCCTTACCTTCCTTTGCTTAAGCTAGTAAGATACTGTTTCGAATTTCCTTTCCATAACCTTCAGGTTTCTCTACCAATGGCTAACATACTCTGACATTTTCTGCTCCCAGGGTAAACCCTTCTTTACCAATGAAGGCCCCTTCCCAACTCTGTCAGGTTTTCTTGTTTGTTTTTTTCTTCAGAACCCCAGCACCACATCATTTGCTGTCCCACTACTCCTTGCAGTACGAATTCCAGTTTTCACAATTAAACTCCAAATATCCTTGATTTGTTTCCTGCCAACAACTTCACCGGCCTGCTCCTTTAAACTTTTTTGAAAATAAATACATTTTAAAAAAGGAGGCACTACTGCGTGTCTCCTTCATTTAAAATAACTCCTGAACACTGGTTCAATTGCTGTTTTCTGCAATATCTTTACAAACCTACCCAAGCCTGAAGTAGCATCAGCTCGGTAGGCTCAGTTTTTACTGCTCCCAGGGAAAGCATCACTAAGAGGGGTTTTATTAGTAGCGTCAGTAGCAAAGGAGCTCGCAGGCGACGGCAGAACAAGGCCAGCAGTACCCAACCACAAAGCAGGCTAATTAACATCTCCCTGGCATATATTCAGGAAGCCGAGATCCCTTAGAACCTCCGAGACGTTACTACCTTGTTCACACGAAGCGTTTAAGACTCGTTAAGGGTCGGGGGACACGCACAGAGGCACGAGCTCTCCCCGCTTCCCCACCCAGCTACCCTGGCTCGGTTCGGCTCGGCCCGGGGGGCAGCAGGAGGGTCGGCCGGCTTCTCCGTGCCAGGGTAGCTGGGTGGGGAAGCGGGGAGAGCTCGTGCCTCTGTGCGTGTCCCCCGACCCTTAACGAGTCTTAAACGCTTCGTGTGAACAAGGTAGTAACGTCTCGGAGGTTCTAAGGGATCTCGGCTTCCTGAATATATGCCAGGGAGATGTTAATTAGCCTGCTTTGTGGTTGGGTACTGCTGGCCTTGTTCTGCCGTCGCCTGCGAGCTCCTTTGCTACTGACGCTACTAATAAAACCCCTCTTAGTGATGCTTTCCCTGGGAGCAGTAAAAACTGAGCCTACCGAGCTGATGCTACTTCAGGCTTGGGTAGGTTTGTAAAGATATTGCAGAAAACAGCAATTGAACCAGTGTTCAGGAGTTATTTTAAATGAAGGAGACACGCAGTAGTGCCTCCTTTTTTAAAATTTATTTATTTTCAAAAAAGTTTAAAGGAGCAGGCCGGTGAAGTTGTTGGCAGGAAACAAATCAAGGATATTTGGAGTTTAATTGTGAAAACTGGAATTCGTACTGCAAGGAGTAGTGGGACAGCAAATGATGTGGTGCTGGGGTTCTGAAGAAAAAAACAAACAAGAAAACCTGACAGAGTTGGGAAGGGGCCTTCATTGGTAAAGAAGGGTTTACCCTGGGAGCAGAAAATGTCAGAGTATGTTAGCCATTGGTAGAGAAACCTGAAGGTTATGGAAAGGAAATTCGAAACAGTATCTTACTAGCTTAAGCAAAGGAAGGTAAGGGGAAGAAGTGGAGGTGCTGTGTGTTTAGCATGTGTAGCTGGAATTGTGAAACTCTAAACAACAACTTCAGTTTAGCTTGCGACAAAAAAAGACAAAGGAGATTTAACTCTAGCCAAGGGACAAGGAAAAATTTTTTTAAAAGTGATCCAGAAAATGTAATCGCATTAGGTTTGCATCAGCAGTCTGACAGGCTCTGGACGTGGAGGAAGGTACTTCTCAGTATCAGGGCATTGCTGATGAATGGGGCCAGCTTACCTTTTGCCACGGCTCTAATTTGCAGATGATATTAGTACTGAATCACACAGAAGCTGTAATGTCAGCACTGAAGAAGGTGGTCAAATCTGAGAGGTAAATGAACAAGCAGAGAAAACAGCTTTGTAGTTCTTGATGGGAGTGAACTCAAACAATGGGTGGAGAGGATGCTTCAGAATATACAGAACACCATGAAACTTGTATCCTAAAACACAGATATTTTTGGTGTCAGGTACCATGTTGGTATAAGGACAGGTGGTGAGGAAGAGTGCCATCTCTAGAGGAATTCTCGGGTAAAATTCAAGTGTAGTTGTCCTTGCAAAAAGTACTTGGACTTTTAAATAAATAAATATATAAGCACCTTAATTTCATTTCCCTTGTGTTATCAGTTCAGTTAATTAATTTAAGGTTGATGTAGAAGAAGGCTGACTCTGTCACATCTACATTATCTGGAGTTCCTTTATCAAAGCTGCTGTACATCTTAGCAACTAATGATTCCGCTTAATTTGTGCTTTGCTGCAAGCTGAGCGCTGCTGTAGAATTAAATGAAGATTTTAATACAAATAATAGATTGACGAATCAACCTTTTTTTCTGTTTCAAGTGTTTTCTGTGAGCATCCGTGGAAGAGTAAAAGGATTTGAAACCGGCATTCTAGAGAAACTTGTGTAGTTTCTGTTACACAGAGCAATGCTGAAATTTCAAGAAACTGCTAAGCGTGTCACTATTGCCGGATTTAATTCTGCTTGCTCAGATGCTATGATTGCAAGAAGATACACTATTCAGAAGAAACTTGGCAATGGAAGCTTTGGAAGCGTATATCTGGTTTCTGATAGAAAAGCAAAACAAGGAGAAGAATTGTAAGTAAACCCTTCACATACTTCAAATAAAAATGTTTGGAACATGTTTCTTGTATTGCAGATGTTTTCTTTTTGTCTCATCTCTCAGCTGGGTGTTATATTGCTGCCTTAACTGTAACTTCTTGAGGCCATAACATAGGAGCAGACTTTATGCTGAGTTGGCATTCCAGTGAAGTCTAGGTTTGTTTAAATAGTCAATCAGATATATCTTTCTTATTGTGCTTTAATCTAAGTCCTTTTTGGTTTACTTGTGCAAGACAGAGTGGAGGTAGGTAGCAAATCTCAGACCCACATCTCCATAGTTATGTACACCTCTGAAACTTTGTAACAAATAATAAAACCAGTAAAAATACATGTAACTTACTGATTCCCCAGAGTCACACTTTGGACAAGTTGCTAATATAAGAGAAATGCTGTGGAAAAGGCCTTTGTGTTTACTAAGAACCAAGGTAAGTTTTACGATTGTCCTGACAAGAAGCAGGACAAAGGTATATGTTTCACAAATTTGTACTTCTTTGTAACAAAATTGTTTGTTGAAGCCTTAAAGTGTTATAATTTAGCAACTCATAATTATGTGTATGCATGTATGTTTAATAAAATTGTATAGTTTATTTTTGAGGCCTTTGTATTTTAGAAATAAACTCGCTTCTTGAAGTTTTTACTTAGGAATGCTTACTAAAGTGCTTGGCAGTTGCCCTCCATCCGATGCTTATCCATTGTAATGAGCTTGATGTTTTTGTTTTAAAAAAAGTGGAAAACGAGAATCTTTAGCCTAATCAGGCCCAGCTACTGCAATATCAAGCTCTAAAATGCTCCATTGAGTTACACGTGCCAATTAAAGCATGGAACATTTAACAGGAGCATGAACATGACAGAATTTCTGAATGCATTTTAATGGACTTTCCTCTTAGTTTCTGATAATTTCTTAATGATTTACTCTAAGTAAGCTTTTTGATAACGCTTTTCAGGAATTGATTCAGTGTCATTGTAAGAACTCAGATTGTTGGAGAAATCTCAAAAGAAACTGTACTGTATTGATGTCCTGTTTTTTTATAATTGAGTTGTCTATATGAAACCTGAGAAGGAAGAGTTACAGAAATTCTGGTAAGCACCTTTGCATTTGCTGTGTATGTAATGATAGCACTTTTTTTTTTTTTTTTTTTAATTACCAGAAAATCTTGACTTTGTTTATTTTTTTTAACCTGCCTACATTTGAAAAGGTCTCATCAGTTTGTTTGATAAACCCTTTAGGATTGTGAGGCCACAAAGACAAAGAACGTCTTCAGAATGTTCACATTTCTCTATGTGAGTTGGAAGTTGAGTGCCTGGATGATGCTTTACTGTATAGAACTGTGTTTGTCTATCATTTTGATACTTACACCAACTGAAATTTATATGTGAATGTTTTTGGTTTTACCCCATAAAACTTGTGAGGCTTTTTGTTTAAAGTCTGAGATACCTAATCAATTTGCTTTTCAAACAGAAATAGATTATTCTTTTAAATATGGGGGTCTATCACTCTATTGATGGATACGTTAATGAAAAATTAATTAAAAAGTGATAAAAGAGCTTTTTCTGATTAATTTGTGCTTCACTTTTTGCTGTGAAGCACAAATGGATGTGCTTCCATTGTGCAATGGAATTCTTGTGAATATTGCTTTAATAAATGTGAATTCAAGACATAATTCTTTCACTTGTTTTCCTTCTACATCAATTTGCAGCTTCTCAGCTCCTTGGATTAGGTTTAGAGGCTACTAAGGTCTCAGCTTTTTCCAGCTGGTTTATAAGACTTTTGATTCTCTCTTAGCCTTACCTGTGGTTTTCTACAAAAATGCTCTGTCATTAAAACTTTCATTAACAACAATATGAAATATTTTAACTTTTATTTTTCTGTTAAAATAATTTATCATGCAAATAGGGTGACAGGAACTTCCTGGGCTTTTTAGACCCTTCAGAACTCATTTTAAGAATATTACCAGAGTAGTGTAATAAGTGTCTTCATACATTTGCTGCTGTAGTGCGCAGTCTGCCAAAACCTCAAAAACAAAGAATGTGTACTTGGCCTTTAAGTAGTTACCATCAGTATTTTTATCCATGGGAATTTTTCTTTGAGAACTTAAATTCTGAGTGATTGTGTTTTGAACGAGTGTTCGGTGTCTGCAGCATTTTTTAGGGTTGAGGCTGAAGGTGTCCTCCACCATCTTCAGGATCAGACACTGAATATTAAATGTCATATTCTTACTTTGTTTTATCAGTCTCTTTTTGTGACAACAGTATTTAACAACCCAGAGTGCTAGCTGTAGTACTTGTAGTCCATCGTTTCATCTCTAGGGGGTACTTGTGTATCACAGTTACACTTCATTCCTTCTGCATCTCAAAAGTAGCTCGAACAGATTCCCCCAGCTTGCTATCACTTATATGTTGATAGATGACAAAAATACTGGCCCAGGTGAACATGAAACTGAGGTAGCTGAAACTGAGATGGAGTGTAGACACTTTCTTCTATTTAAAAATACTGGTTTCTGAAGGTGGTGATATATACTAGAAGTCAGGCCCTCAACCATACTTTCAAATCAGAAAATAATCTCTTATGAAACTGTCCCAGTTACTGTTTCTGTTATGTTTTCCATTGGAAAATGTGTATATCTATATATGTATACCTGGAAATTAAAAATTAGGTGATTATGTTGCTTAATCTTAAAAAAAATAATAATTACATCTCTGAAAGCACTTTGGCAGAAAAATAAGGAATTGAGATAATTTCTGAATGACCTTGGCTGAATTAGAAGTCTATTGTTTCAGACATGATCCAGAACATGCTGAGACAGGTGTTAGTGCAATCTCAGTCAAAGATAGTTTCTTGAAGATTGCTACCATGTAAAGCTCTGTGAAAGAGCATAGGAATAAATAATAAAAATACAAATTCCCAAGAATGGCATTTTGGATATTGGTACAGAAGCTGTTCAGGGATGTCCCTTTCAATTTTCAAATACTGCAGTGTCTACAGAATGAGCTAATATAAAAATGATTACAATGTAATTTCATGTATGTTCAGCAAAGGTTTCACGTTATTTTAGAAATAGTGTTTGGGTATGCCTTGTACTTTGCTACCCTTAAAGGAACTTAGCTGTGGTGAGTAAAGTATTATGCACACAGTTGCTTCAGATGGGAGTGAGAGAGTGAGCTGTTTATTTGGGGCATGCCTCAAGTTAACATCTGTATGTCACATAGAACTCTCCACACAGAGCTGCTGAGGCCAGAAATACCTGCCTTTTGTGGAAGTACATGCCAGCTTCATGATGGTCTTTACCTCTGTGTGTGCACAGGATCCTGATTACTGACTTTCTGGGATCATACTAGATCAAAGACACCCAGTGAAATATAGCTGAGTTGCATACTATATAAATAATAAGGTTATGACATAACCAGTTCATAGTCCTGTGAGATTTCTATAATTTGCCTTCTTTTTATTAGGTAACTCTGAAAATCTTTTTAATTTTAATTTTACCTTTCACCATGTCTCAATTAGAAAATTATACATAGCTAAAAGGAGCTGTCAGCTAGAGACAGAGCTAAACACCTGAAAGTCTAAGCCAGGAAAATCCCTAGTCATACAGTACATTATCATGTTGATGAATTCCATTTTCCTTTAGAAAATAATAGTTGCAAGTCATCATATATTCTTAAATATACTTTAATAGGTTCTGTTCACACTTGATTTTACTGAAGGGTAGTTTCTCTACTTGTATTGATTGTGCTTTATGTTTTTCCAAGGTATATTATGGACAATGGAGAGGGAGAAAAATCAAACCACTGGTTAGTATTCTGGAGTAAGATGATGCTACCATGGAGTTATTTCAGACTGGCTGTTAGACTTAAAGTCACACTTATCTCCTTCTGAGATACCTGCTTTGAGCAGACTTGTTATAAATAACTTTTTTGAATTTCATAGTAATTTCCTAAAAATAAAAATGCAAGTTCTAGATTTTAGATTTGTCTAGGGAAGGTGACTTTTTTCTTTCCATATTTGTATGTAGAGAGTTATGCCGTCAGTTGTACATCTTCTACAATATCTTTTGATCATGTCGAATGATTCTCACCAAGCATGACAGAGGGTTAAATACCTCGAAGACAGAAGTTCCTGCAACTTATGTGAAAACAGCAGAGAACAAAATGAATGCTCTCAGAAAGAGAGAGGCCAGAACTTGAAGGCTCTTCACTATGAAAGAAGTCTCTCCTGTAGTAGACAATCCACACAGGAGAGAGATCATCAATTTCCTCCAGTTTTGGAAGAAACTATGGTCAGAATTTGTATCATCTTAGACCCTAAAATCAGTCAAACACAAGAGACATGTTTGTTTAAAAGCAAGCTTCTTAGTTCCAGTTTACAGAGGATGGCTTGGTTTGTCTATTGTTTGACATTTCCCCTGTTAGATATTTGCAAATCTTCTGGTCTTGAGCCAGGTACTCTAAATTCACTAAAAATGAGATTGAATTGCTTAATGTTGACATTGTCTTTACATTCTAGTGGTCTCTACAATGTGCTCTGGCAAATCTTTATTTCAAGTTGCAAACTGATTTAGCTAATACAGAACCGGAGTAAAAGTAGCAGGAATGTGCCAGTCTTTTTCTGTGCAAACAGTAGTATCCCTGCAGTCACTTCTGTCCCGGTCTCCCTGAGAGTGTTATCAGTTAATTGTAACAGGTAATTATGGTTAAAGACAAAGCGTTTTATAGCAGAAATTTACATTCAGCAGTAATCTTGAAGGACAGTGCTACCACTTACAGATACTGGATGTCCCAATCAATTGTGCCAAGTGAAGCTCTGGGTTAAGCTTCACTAATTCATGACCAAACATAGGCAAGCAGCTGCAGTACCCAGTAGGCAAAAGGGACTTCTAGTTCATAAATATTCACAAGGTACTTATACATCCCTGTGGTGGAAAGCACATGCTGAGAAGCGCCAGACTCCCTGGACTGCTCCTGTGTGTGGTAATTGT